AATACGTCGACTCATAGCCACCCTGTATAGGGTTTCCAAGGAGCAGCTGGTGACTTTGAACCGCTGACCCTGCGGTACAAATTAACCTTGCAGTCCAGTGCTTTTCCCACAGCTCCACACCAGGACTCCAATTTTGTTGTTAACATTAACAACAAAATTACGAATATTCATTTTGTTGTTAATATTTATATAATTTAAGAAATGTGACATTTAAGCAACTTACAACTGTATTTATCATAAGTTATTGTATAATGATACCTCACAACAACACCATTCTATGATTAAAATTGGTCATAAATATTACTATGGGAGGAGATCTACAAGGTGGGAGGTGGGTGGAGTGTGACACCATGAGTAGCCTCATTGGATGGCACCAACCCCTGTGACCCACTGTCTATCAGCCCCACCTTCTGGAATATTCCACAGTTGACACTGGTGTTTTGTGGTCTAGCTGCTGCCTTTCCTCACCAGCCTCACACCCTCCTTCATGTCAGTTTGTACCACAAAGAACATGGGCCCTACAGGGCAGGTCCACCGTGTCCACCTTCAGCCTTCGCTGACCTGTGACTAGACACCCTTCCTTGGGTTTCTGACCTAAGGGTCTCCCAGAATGCTACCCTCACTCAGCGGGATCCAGGAGGTCCTTGTTTTCAGGGACTGCACTGAGCTGGAGACATGCCCGCCCCCCCCATCTTAACAGCGGGGCTTCCACAACCTGTCTTCAGCCAGTGAGAACCGGTCCAGTGACCCCCTTCCCTCTACCTCTTCTCTTGTCTGTCTCTCCAGCCTCGATGGGTGTCTGTCCAAGTGACCAGCTGTGGTATCTGCTGGCACAGTTGCCCTATTGATACCTTTACAATGGAAAAGAGTTGAAAGAGGTTTCTGAAGGAATTAGAAGCTGGGTGGGTGGTAAGGCCATAGCAGAGTCAGGGAGGGGCGAGGGGCTGAGAGGTGGTCACCCCAGGGGAAAGGAATTTCATTCTGATGTGAGGGTCTAGACCACAGGGTTTGGGGGAAGGGGAAGGCAAACCTGGGGAGGGGCTATGTGGGCAGTGACAGACAGAGCAGGTAGGGGACAGATGGGGGACAAAATGCTGGGAAGAGGGAGGGCAGCATTGTCTTCTGGCTATTTGAGGCCAAGGCTGACTTCCGGTCCTTTCCTGGAGACAGGAATGAGTGGATAGTGTTCGTTTCTGAGACCAGGAGGGGGACATAGTGGAGAGGGGCAGGGGGAGGTTTAGCCCTGTCCTCCTCTGACCTCTGTGTGTCTGCTTGTCCATGTGGCACCTGGATCAGGAGGCCCTCGATGGGTGTTGTGACCAAATGGGCTGGTGACAGAATGGGGTTCCTGGACTCCCGGGGATGGTCACCTCACATCCCCTGAGGTCCCCAGATCTGCCCACTTGCCCTCCCTGTCTGGGCAGGGTCCTAACTGCCCTCTCCTTTCTATCAGAGCCTCCTTGGTGGACTTTTGTGTTAACCCCATCCCAGCCAGGTGTACCATGCACCTTGGACAAGCGTTCACATGCACTTGGGTATTGGCTTGAAGCCTTTCCAACTCCAACATGTTTTTCTGCTCAAGGGCTATGGTGGGGTGTGGTGGGGACCTGCCACCCTCCCAGGCCAAGTTCACTTCTAAGTTCCCTTCCCTGCTGCCACCACTCCTTGCATGAAGGAAAGGGTGGAATGTGAATAATAATTACCCACCCTGTGGAGCCCTTAGGAACTGGGCGGGCAGCCAAGACAGCCGTACCATGAGAAGCTGAGATTCGAGGCAGGACCCACAACTCACAGAGGTGCTGGACGGTCAGGGAAGGCAGGCCTGGGACTAGGGACCATGCAGGACAGGTGTAGACAAGAGTCTGTGATTGTCACTGCGCTCTCAGAAGGCTATTCTTGACTCAGCAGAAGTATCTGCAAATGGGTCCCTGGTCCCTCTCCACGTGGGCCTGCGTGGGGACAGGTGGATGCTGGGTTGGAGGGTCAGCCTCAGGTGAGGACAGGTGTGTCCTCACGAGATCTGGTGTCTGCTCCGCACGGACTCCCAAAGCTTCTCCTGGGTATGCCTGGACCAGTGTGTCCCCCATCACCTGTGCCCACTGCCTGCGGCAACCAGCTGTGGGTGGAATGGCCTCGGGGGTAAGAGCTGCTCTGGGGCGGGGGTTTCCCATGAATCCTGAGCTTCTTCATCAATTCTTACAGTCTGTGGATAGTGGGGCTGCGAGAGATTCCTTGATTGCTGAAATATGCACACCATACAAGTTTTTTGTTGTTGTTCACAAATCATTATGGGTCAAAAATGTCTCATCCTGACAACCAGGCCAAGAATGGTCACTATCCCCACCCTGGTCACCCTAGTGAACAGTGAAAATTGCATCTTTCCTGGTGAGACAATGTTGGTTCCATGGTAGAATTCTTGCCTTCTGTAGGGGAGACCCAGGTTCAATTCCCAGTCAGTACACTTCATGTGTTGCCACTCCCAGTCTGCCAGGAGAGGCTTGTGACAGGTTTCAGATGAGCTTCCAAACTAAGACAAGCAAGAAAGACCTGGTGACCTCCTTCCAAAAAATCAGTCAATGAAAACCCCATGGATTCCAATGTCCTAATACACAGTCAATCATGAGGGTGTTGCAGGGCCAGGCAGGATCTTGTTGCATTGTTCATGGATTATCATGAGTCGGAGCTAAGTCGGTAACAGCTCACAACAAGAGCTAGCTCTACCACATGCCCCTAGGCCCCTGGGCTTCCAGATTCTGGGAGGGGTCGCACAGGCAGATGCCAGCCTTGTGGAAGAGAGCTGCCAGCACACCTAAAGGGGCAGGGGCTTGGAGTCCTTTGCACTGGTGCCCTGCAAGGCAGGGAGGAAAGGAAGACCATGAAGGAAGCAAGAATCATGCAGATTAGGCCCCGTCCCCACCTCAACGGACTCTTTCGCTCGGTCCAGTAGTGCCCGCTATCTCTCATCTGCCAGTTGGAATCGGCGGGTCCTACTTGAGGGTTTCCCCTCAGCCAGATGTGTACCTGCCACTTGTGAGGATAAGCAGTTATTTCCCCACCTTGTGCCACGTGAGGGTTGGGGGTCTGCAGTCAGGCGTCTGTCTGGGTCCGGAAGCCCAAATACACCGTTGCTGCCAGCATGGACCTTGGGCAAGCATCCTGAGTCCCCGCTCTCCCAGTGCAGCTCTGGGTTCATTGTAGGGTTTGATTTGGGACACCGGTCATTGGTGTCTATGTGATCTCCTTCCCTTCCTTCCCTCGGTGCCAGTCTTAGTTCTCTAGTTCTGCTTTCAGAGAAATGTCACTAGTGTGTGACTTGAACAAACACAAATCGATTCTCCAGGTGTGGGCTCCAGGGGAAGGCTTTGTCTCTCTGTCAGCTCTGGGAGGAAGGTCCTTGTCTCCTTTTGATATCTGTAAGCATGGCGTTCCTTGGAGCTCTCCATGTGTCTTGGCATCAGTCTTCCCCTGGGTCTAGGAGCTTCTCAGCACAGGGACCCCTGGTCCACAGCTTCCAGCTCTTCTTCCGTGGTAGTGGAAGGGCCCTCTCATCTCTGCTTGTTTGTTTGTGTCTGAAAGAGATTGCCAGAAGATACAACCTGATCCTGTTGCTTGTACACTACTCCATTAACATGGTGTTTTTGTTTGTTGTTGTTAAGTGCTATTGAATTGGTTCCGACTCACAGCAATCCTGTACAGGGTTTGTGAGGAGCAGCTGGTGGGTTTGAACAGCAGATCTTGTGGTTCGCAGTCCAGTGCTGATCCTACAGTGCCACCCCAGGAGTCCGCTCCCAGTTCTAATCGTAGCGACTCTGTAAAGGGTTTCGGAGGCTTTAAAAATCTTCTCGGAGAGGATGACATGGAAAGAGGGAAAGGCTGAGGACTCTAGACCCAGACAGGGAGAGGGGCTGTGTGCTGACAACCGGGGGGCAGGCTTGCAGGGAATACCCTTTGATTGTTTGATGATGCATGGAAGGGATTGTAACCATGGCAATGAAATGACATATGATAGGATGAATGTAAAGCTAATGTTTTCCCATGTAAACTATCACACAATTCACAATAAAACATAAAAAAAAAAAATCTTCTCAGGAGCAGAAAGTCTCATCTTTCTCCCACAGAGCAGCTGGTGGGCTCGAACTGCAGACCCTGTGCTTCACAGTCTAGTGCTTATTGTATGGAGCCAGCTTACTCCCACATTAGCATCATAGAGGTTAGATTTACAACACGTAGGATTATTGCAACAGATCCCAAAATGGAGGATAGGCAGATTGACCCGTATTCTGGGGGAGTGGAGGGCACAATTCAATCCATGACAGCACCCCACTCCTCTCCTCCAGCCCACCTGTCCTTCAGGGATAAGAGATGTCACCTCCTCCATGAACTTCCCCTCTTACTGAACTTCTGCTGTGTTACATTCCTGATAAGGCACATGGTGAGGGGGGAGGGATGTTACCCCAGGTGAATCTCACTGACCCAAACGCACGGGGTCTCCTGGACCAGAGGACAGGTCCAGTTTGGGCAGGACCCACTGTGATTGGGTGTTTCTAGATTGGATCTGGAGTCCTGGTCTAACGCTGTGGGTTAATGCACTGGACTGCAAAGTTGGTTTGAGCTAAAAGGTCAGTGGTTCAAGCTCACCATCCACTCCTTGGAAACCCCTTTATGGGGTCGCTATGGGTCGGAACTGACTCTACAGCACTGAACAACAAGAACATATCAGATCTGGTCACCAGGTTTGCAGATAAGTGCTGTTGGCTCCCTCTGATAGTGACCTCTGCACAACAGAATGAAACGCTATCCGGTCCTTGGCCTTCCTCACAATCATTATGCTCAAGCCCAATGTTGCTGCCGCTGTACCAATCCATCTTGCTGGGGAGTCTTCCTCTTTTTCGTTGATCCTCTACTTTTTTGTATGATGTCCTTCCAGGGACTGGTCCCTCTGATCACATATCCAAAGTATGAGAGACAGTGAGTAGCCATTGCCGATTCTAAGGAACAATCCAGCCATACTTCTTCTAAGACAGATTTGTTCATTTTTCCATGGTACTTTCAACATTCTCTAACACCATAACTCAAACGCATCGATTCTTCAAACGCATCAATTCTTCTACGGTCTTCTTTATTCAATGTCTAACTTTCACATGCATATGTGGTTATTGAAAATATCATGGCTTGGATCAGGTGCACCTCAGTCCTCAAACTGACATCTTTGCTCTTGAATGCTTTAAAGAGGTTTTGTGCAGTAGATTTGCCCAATGCAATAATTCGTTTGATCTCTTATTGATGGCTGATCCAAGTGAAACAAAATCCTTGACAACTTCCATCTTTTCTGTTTGGTCCAGTTTTTTGTTTTTCGCAGACAGATGAAGTTCCCTTATGAGTTTTCCCCCAAGAAGCTCACACCCTGCTGTTCCTCTCACTGCTTTCTGGCCCCCTGCTTAGCTCGTCCATGACTCTCCCAGACCATGCCATTCAACACCCTTTCTCACACTCCTGGACCATCTGACTGACAGTGTGTGTCCCCACAGCTGTGGCTGAGCTTCGCACCCGTCGCCGACACGGTTGCCCAGTACTTCTCCCTGTCCATCGAGCAGATCAACTGGCTCTCGCTGACCTACCTGGTGGTGGCCATCCCCTTCGGTGTGGTCGCCATCTGGTTTCTGGACTCGGTTGGTCTCCGTGGCGCGGTGAGTCTCCAGCCCCATAATATTGCTGTCACTTTCTCCTCCAGCTGGAGGTCTGCAATACCCGGGGCCCCCTCTCTGACCCACTGCCCTCCAGATGGGCAGCTCCTCAGCAGGGCCACAGGGCAGTTGGAGTAATGGGAAGTCGGCATCTTCAGTGAGGTGCAGGGTGACCTCTGCAGGTGATGGTTCTGTAGGGAGGTTGGATGTGGCGGAGTGAGGGCTGCCGCTGCAGGTGGGAGAGATTGCACAGAATGAAGGCCCGAGTACCCCAGGACTGGGGTGGGTCAGAGAGGGCAGGAGGGGACTGTGAGAGGGAAAGTAAAGAGGGGGAGGCCTGAGTGTTGGGGGTTGCGTCAGCGCAGCGTCAGAGGAGAAGCAGGGATCGAGAGTACTAGGTGGGGCAGCAGATGACAGAAATGTCTCTGGAGCTTGTGGGGGAGCATGAGCTGAGTAGGGGACTGAAGCGTGTGACTCTGGGGGAGGGGGAGATGACAATGACAGGTGGGGTCGTTTGGGGGGGTGGGCTTCAGGGGGCTTTCAGCGCAGTAGGGGGTCGAGGAGCTGGGCATTGGGGGTGGTGGGGAGAGGTGGAGGCTCCCAAGTGAAGGCGTTCTGCCCATTGGATGAAGGCCTAGTGTGTGGTCCCAGCCTTTGACCCTCCGCCCCAGCTGTGAAGGAGCAAAGGTCAAAGGGGAAACACAGACCCAGAACTGGTCTGCCCACCCTCCACAGAGAGTAATCCTATGACTGGACATTGGAGGTGATGGAAGGGAGGGGGGCTGGGGTCCATGAGGAGGGCTAGCCTGGACAGTGTTCCTGTCCCCTCCTGTCCCTGCAGACCATCCTGGGGGCGTGGCTCAACTTCCTCGGGAGCGTGTTCCGCACTCTGCCCAGCATAGCAGCTTTGAGTCGTTACCCGTTTGTCTACCTCATGACGGGGCAGAGCCTGGGTGCCCTGGCCCAAACCCTGGTTGTCTTCTCTCCGGCCAAGCTGGCTGCCCTGTGGTTCCCTGAGCACCAGCGGGCCACCGCCAACATGATCGCCACCATGTGTGAGTGTGAGGGCATGGTCACCTCCCGACCCCTGCCCAGAGCTCCTCTGCCGCTTCTGGCTTCTCCCCCTCACTCCCCATGCATTCCAGAAGGTCCTGCTGGGGCAGGCAGGCCTAACATTTCTGTTGTCCATCTGTCCATCCAGCAAACACCCTGGGCATCCTCTTGGCCAATGTGCTGTCACCTGCTCTGGTCAGGAAGCAGGAAGACGTCCCCTTGATGGTGAGTGTGTGTGTGTGGCGTGGGCACACACCTGTGCATGCACACCTGTTCATGTTTCTCCATGCAGACATCGGGCGGGGCGGCGCAGTGTGCATGGAACGCTGTCTGTGTTGGGTGCTGTGTGGGGCAACATTCCACTGGGGCCACAGTCACAGGGAGGTGAGAGGAAGTTAGGGGAGGGTCCAGGGTCAGGAAGGAAGAGGCATTTGTACTGCGAGTGAGGGTGGGGCATGCTGAGGGGGTGTCTAAGAAGAGTTCAAGGCCCTGAGGCAGGAACAAGCTTAGGAGTTGGAAGTTCAAACCCAAGACCAGTATGGCTGGAGTCTTGTTGAGAAGGTGAGGGTCCAGGAAGCCAAGTGGGAAGCCAGGTGGGACAAGGCAGCAGGTGACAGGAGTGGGTGTTTCACTCCACCTTGGGAAGCTGTAAGCTGGATGCTGATTGAATCTGATCCAAGCAAAGTTCCAGGAACTAGGAGTAGGGCTGAGTAAGCAGGCAAGAGGGTGTAGATCCAGGGAGAGACGCTGGGGTCATGGTCAGGGTGCAGGGGAGTGAAGGCAAAGATGAAAGTATGATGGTGGCTTGGAGGTCTTGTGAGGGAATTGGGGACAGGGCTTTCTGCCTGAACAGCTGGTGAGTGGAGGCATCACAGACTGATATGGGAGAAAGGACGAGAGCAGGCTGGAGAGGGGTCCTAGGTGTGTTAAGCACGACTCGCTCATTATAGGGTATGTCCTCTTAGTCGTTTGTAACCGAGCATTATGAATTGTCGAATTTCCTGAGGGATACGAATAAGGATCAGTACAAAGCTGCTTCCCATGAGGTGGAGGTCAGGTTATATCTCTCCGTTCCTTCTTCTTCATCATTTCTAACGCCAGCCACCACCACCTCTGCCCTCTGCCCTGCAACACTCTCTATTTCTCTGCAGGGCTGGTTCATTTGTTGCATTAGCCATACACAACTCACAGATCCTACTCACAGTCCTGTGGTTTATTGGGGAAGTAAGAGGCTACAAGACAGGACCAGGGTCAACTTGAAAGGAACAAGAACAGCTCAAGTTCAGAGTCAGGAAATTCACAAGCAAGGTGTCTTCTGTGCGGCACAGCTTCTGCCCAGGACAGCGCTCAGAGCAAAAAACCTCATGGTGCAGATAAACTTTCCATGCTCTTACTCAGCGACCCTGCCTCCTCCAGGGATCAGTGGGTGAGGCTTTTCTGCTGGGCAGAGCTGCTTTTTCTGCCAGGCAGGCCTCTCTGCCATTGTCCTCCCCGCCATTGGGCTTCCTGCTGCTAACTGGCCCAGCTCACAACCAGGACAGCAGCTCGCTGAGCTCTCTGAGCTACCATCAGGCCTCATTGGGGTCACGCCTCTCCATCATTGGCCTCTCTGCTGCTAACCGGTCCAGCTGATAGCCAGTGTACCAGCTTTTCAGTTTCCACGTGGCTCAGCTTCTCTGCAAACTCAGCTCTTAGAGATTACCTCTCTTAACCAGGAGACCTAGAAAACTGCAAATGAGAGATGCAGCCATTCATAGACCCCCACCCTCATCAGTTACAAGACAGAGTTCAACCACTTCACAATTACCCCTGAAATGTCAATCAGTTCAGGTCTTATACAAAAGTAACATTTTCTGCTGACATAGACCGGCTCCTCCCAAATTGTCTTTTAAAAAGAACCAAGGCAAAAAGGCCACATGACAGAACTCAGACCGTGAGTCTGGAGCCCTGGAGAAGGCCAGGCTACAGTCACACATTTATGTGGCTCTAAAGACATCCTTGTGGGAGAGTTGAAAGCCCTGGCTCCAAATGATAGCACATACATGAAGAATAGGATTGGAGACAGCAGACTCAAGCTGTAACCAGCTCTGAGTTTGCAGATGGTTAGAGATCCAGTCAGAGACGTAAAGCAGACAGGACCAGGGAGTGTGGAGGAGATGGGAGAAATCTCAAGACCAGCTTGTGTATGAGTGAGTATGTGTCTTTGCATGAGGCTTTGTACCTGTGTATACCCCTGCATGCTTGTACATGCATACGTACGTGTTCACATATGCATGCCCTCCCCAGCTCGGCATCTATGTGATTCCTGCTGCAGTTGCCTGCCTACTGGCCACCACATGCCTCTGGGAGAGTGTGCCGCCCACCGCTCCCTCAGCTGGAGCTGCCAACTCCACCTCAGAGAAGTTCCTTGATGGCCTGAAGCTGGTCAGTGCAGTCTGCTCTTGGGGGAGCAGATAGCTTTGCCCTGGGGTGGGAGGAACCCAGGAGAGGACCCCTTCGGATTGTATAGTGGCCTGTCCTTACACCATCGTGAGAGCCCACCATTGCTGTGTGGAACCCTGGCTCCCAAAGCATGTTGGGAGGGTGCCCCATGGTGACCCCCAGGCTGAGCAGCCCCTTTCTTTCCAGCTTGTGCGGAACAAGGCTTACATCATCTTGGCATTGTGCTTTGGGGCCGGCATCGGAATCTTCTCCAGCTTCTGCGCCCTCCTGGAGCAGATCCTCTGTGTGCAGGGTTACTCCAATGTAAGTGTCTTCCCTGACCACCCAAGTGCAGTCACCCACAAACTCCCCAAATACACAGTGTCCACACCTCAAACTGGGACCATGTGGATGTCCTTTGGCTGGGATAATAGGGATGAAGAGTGATGTTGAATGCCAAAACCATCAACAGGTGGTGGTGGTTGTGGCAATGGGATGGTCCTGGTGGCAGGGGTAGTGGTGATGGAGATGGTGTGGTTACCATGGAGATGAGATGTGGAGAAGATGGTCCTGGTGGCAGGGGTAGTGATGATGGAGATGGTGTGGTTACCATGGAGATAGGATGGGGAAAAGATGGTCCTGGTGGCAGGGGTAGTGGTGATGGAGATGGTGTGGTTAACATGGACACGGGATGGGTGGGGGATGGTCCTGGTGGCAGGGGTAGTGATGATGGAGATGGTGGTGGTTACCATGGAGATAGGATGGGGAGAAGATGGTCCTGATGGCAGGGGTAGTGGTGATGGAGATGGTGTGGTGACCATGGAGACGGGATGGGTGGGGGATGGTCTTGGTGGCAGGGGTAGTGGTGATGGAGATGGTGTGGTTACCATGGAGATGGGATGGGTGGGGGATGGTCCTGGTGGCAGGGGTAGTGGTGGTAGCACTGGTAGCTGTGGGGATGGGCTTCACTTGGTGGTGGTCAGGATGGCGGTGCTGATGGTGTGGATGGAGAAAGGACTGGGGATGATAGTGGGATTTTACGTACGGTTCTTCAAACCCTAGTCCCCTGTTAGGCTCCGCCCCTGGCAGGTCTCCAGGGAGAGGCCTTCCTGATAGTTGGAAGTGAGGTCACAACCCTTCTGCCATCTGACAGAACCTCCAGTCCCCACATGTACACTCCCACCTCCACCAGGGGCGTCTGCTGTGACCACCCCGTTCCCTCAGCCTGAAGGACTATCTTCCCTCAGCAGTTGTGGGTCTCTGAGTCAGGGTGACACAGTGGAGTACCTTGAGGGAGAAATGCCACCCTACATGTGATCGTGACCGGCCTGTGGTATCATTCCTGGGCCAACCCTGGGACCTCAGAGTTCCATGTCCCTCTGACAGGGTGCCGCTGGCCTCTCCTCTCCCAGGATTTTGCAGGTCTTTGTGGGGCTCTCTTCATCGTGTTTGGGTTCCTGGGGGCGCTGGGTCTAGGTCTGTATGTGGACCGAACCAAGCACTTCACTGAGGCCACCAAGATCGGCTTCTGTCTGACCTCCATAGCCTGCGTGGCCTTTGCTCTGGTAAGAGTCCCCTTGTGCCGAGACCACCCCTGAAGGGCCCCAGGTGTGTGATGGGACAGGGTCTGGGCCCAGACCAGGAGAGAGGGAGGGCGGAAACCAGCTTCTGTCTGCTTGGCTGGCCTTAGGAAAGTGGGGGCTTCCCCTAGCCTGGCACCCTACCCTCTCAAGCCCACACCTTGTGCACTGGAATGGGGTCTCCATCGAGGACTGGGCCAGACCTAGGGTGTCCGTTGGGGTATGTCCAGCAGCCTCTGCCCTCTGTGAGAGTTCCCTTGCTCCAGGTGTCCCAGCTGCAGGGACAGACCATCTGGCTGGCTGTTGTCTGCTCCTTGTTCGGGTTCTTTGGTCTGTCCATCGCGCCCGTTGCCATGGAACTTGCAGTGGAGTGTTCCTTCCCTGTGGGCGAGGGCGCCGCCACTGGGCTGGTCTTTGTGCTGGGGTGAGTGTCTGTTTACCCAGCGACCCTGTGACACTCGCTGTCCATGCGTCCCACACTGCCCACTCCCCACGAGCCACCTGTCCCAACCCTTCCCCTGAGCCCACCCCTGCCTGCTGACCCCACGAGGGGGTGTCCAGATCAGGTGGGGACTGGGCGCCATGTGTGTGTCCAGGCAGATCGAAGGCGCTCTTGTCATGGTGCTGCTGACTGCGCTGGCCACACCCCGTGTGGATCCATCCTTCTCCACCTGCCAGCATGGGGAGGCCCCCCTGGACTGGACAGGTGAGTCCGTGTTCACCCCCAGGAGCCCTAGAGAACAAGGAGGTGTGGTAGACAGGGCACACATGGGGGACCAGGAGGGAGACCAGAGGGAAGGTGTGGTGAGAGGACAGCAGGCAGAACCCTGGGTACAATAGGGTGGAAGCCAGGGACTCCTGGGAGCAGATGGGAGTTCCTGCTGAGAGCCGACCTTAAAACCCCAGTGTGAGAACTTTTATAAGAGATCAGAGTCAAACAGAGATAAGGTGGAGACAGAGATCAGAGACACAGGGGGAGGTAAGGGTGGAGCGAGAGATCAGACACAAACAGGGGTGGGACAGAGATCTGAGAGAGAAAGGTGGGGTGGGGACAGAGATCAGACACAGAGACAGGGGTAGTACAGAAATCAGAGCGAGAGACGGGTGGGCCCAAGGTCAGAGACAGGGACTTTGCAGACCCAGGGCTCCATCTGGGCACGGCTCTGGAGAAGGGGCTCTGTGGTCCTGGTTGGGGTGGTCAGCGTGGACCAGGAGGGCAGACCTAACTTCTGGTGTCCCTCCAGTGTCCCTGTTGCTGATGGCCGGTCTGTGTACCACCTGCAGCTGCATCTTTGTGATCTTCTTCCACACCACATATCGGCGCATGCAGGTCGAGGCCAACGCCTCCCCCTGCATCCAGGAGGACCACGCCCCCACCTGGCAGCCACACCCTGAGCCCCCAGCTCTAGAGTGGAGCGTTTCCAGACAGCCTACCGATCCTGCTGCCCTGGGGAGCCCTGACCCCACAGTCAAGTCCACAGGCGAAGGGAGCAGGGGAGTGGGGGCTGATGACCTCTCAGAACCACGAGTGACCCAGGACCTTCCCTGAAGGGGAGCTTGCAGGAGGTCTGGGGAGAGGCCACGACCCTGAAGCCTGGGGGCAGGGGTGCCAGCATCCACAGACGGGCAGGTATACTCAGACAGCCCGATGACCTCAGCGCAGGGACACACCACAGCTGCCATAAGTGGGTCTACCCTGTGTGGACTCAGGCAGACCCAGGACAGCCACTCCCAGGGAGGGTGGGCACAGGGACCGAGATGGAGCTGGATGGGTGGGGGGCGTTGAATCTGACTCAAAAAATCCTGTCCCAGACTGGGCCAGGAAGTGGGGCCAGGCTGGATGTTGGGGAGGTGGGGCTGGAGAAGAGGAGACACTCGCCCACCTCCTGGTGCGGCGCTGTAGGATCAGCACTGGACTGTGAACCGCAAGGTCGGCAGTTCAAACCCTATACAAGGTTTCCAACAGCACTGAACAACAACCCCCCTCCACCCCCCAGGCAGACACAGGCAGACACGGGTTTGTGAGTCCACATTTATTCGGTGGTTGCTCCCTATGAGGGCCCCTCATTCCTCCTTCTCCTCGCCGTGTGTGATCACGTAGCTCAATGCCTTGTAGTCCAAGTTACCAGCAGCGTCAATGGAAGCGAACTGGAACATCTGGTCCACCTGTGAGGGGCATCAGGGACGGGAGTGGGTCCAGCCCAGGAAGGAGGAGAGTGCCCGGAAGTAGGGGTCCCTGAAAGGCTCTCGGGGCCTTGGGGGTCAAATACACAGTCTGCACAGCTCCTTGCCCTAAGACTCCTTGCTATCTGTGTGGGGGTGGAGGACCCTGGTCAGAAGTGGAGGGGGGTGTGGGCTGGGGCTCAGGGTCTGGGTGGACTTCTTTAATAACCTAGCAGGTCAATGCCCAACTCTGGACCTTTTGGCATGTGGGGGTGAGTGGGAAGGAGCCATGGTGGACCTGGGGGTTTAGAGGTGCAGGGGATGATAGGATCCCACTCTGATCACCCTCTCTCCTGGACCCATCCCCATTTTGCTCTGGGGCCTTTCTGAGGGTGAAACAGTGTGGGGAGCCCAGAGTGTATGTAGGGAGAGGATACGCCTATACTGGTGCTCTGTGTGTCTAACAACTGACCCCCAAGCTCAGTTTGCAAATGAACATGGTGGGAGGGAGATGTAAAGGGGACAGTGGGCCAGGCAGCAGGCTCAAACCTCTTCTGTAGTCAGCTTGTCAGCCTGGGACATCAGCAAACGTTTGATACTGAGGAAACAAAAGGGAGGGAGGTATGTGAGAAAAAGGCTCCATCTTAGGGTTAAACTGGAGGGGCTGCCCGGCAGTTCATCTCCTTGGAAGCTCCATGTAGAGGTAGGAGAGACCCTGAAGGTGCAGCTGGCCACTGAGGTCTCTCCTCAAGCCCCACTCACAGTACAGGTACTTGGGGGCAGTCAGGGAAGGGGGTTCTGTAAGGGTCTTTTCCCAATAGGCACACTCATGATGTTATCATCTTGGGGACTCTGCCCAGGGACTTGCGGGGAGTCTGATGGGGCAGAGACTGAGGAAGAAGGACCACATACTCCCTTCCCAGGGCCTGGTACAAGGTGGGGGGTGTTGGGTCCCTTGGGACTCTTAGCAAGTTCACGTGACAGAGTAACTGAGTAGCCCTGCCCCGCGGCGTTTCCTGGATTGTCCACTTCACAGTGCAACCCTGGTGGTGCCGTGGGTTAACCCTCGGAAACCCTGTGGGATCAGATCTACCCTGTCTTCCAGGGTCACTAGGAGTCCTTACTGACTCAATCTTTATAGGAGCCGACTCCCACAGCTTTCTCTTTAGGAGCCTCTGACTGGGCTGGAACCCTCAATCTTTTGGTTAGATGAGCACTTAACCACGGTGCCACCAGGGCCTCTGGAATAAAGGCAAACCAAAAAATAAAACATAAAATTTAAAACCCTGCTGCCATCAAGTTGTGCTGCCACAACTTTCTCCAGTGGAACGGCAGGTGGGTTTGAACCGCTAACTTTGAGCTTAACAGTCCAGTGGTTTTCCTATAGTGCCACACCAGGACTCCTGGTACAATGTAGCCCTCAATAAAAGGGAATAAAGGCAACAATAATAAACTAGCAATCGCTATTGTGCAATTATTATTATTAATAATAAATCTGGTAAGTCTCACGACAGTGATTCCCCCCAGCACCTGTTCTGGGTGCTAAAGAAGCAGCATTGTTAATATCAATTATCCAAGAGAGGACCAAAGCTGGTGAGAGGAGGGAGGTGGGCTTGGCGGGCAGGTTGTTCTCCAACCCTGGGAGCTGACAGGGGACCCCGTCCCTCTGCCCACACCCACACTAGTGGGCACTCACTAGTCTTTGTTGATGCTGCCTTTGCCATCTGGGTCAAGCATCTTGAAGGCGTTTAGGATGGTGTCTTCAGCATCCGTACCTACACACAAAGATGCCTTGCTGTTGTTAGGTGTCATCGAGTCGACCCCACGTACAACAGACGAAACACTGCCCAGTCCTGCACCATCCTCACAGCTGTGATGTGTGAGCCAACTGCTGCTGTCACTATGTCAGCCATCTTGTTGGAGATCTTCCTCTTTTTCTCCCTGGGCATTTAGGTTGCTGGCATCCTGCCACTGGGCACTTCGCAGGCAGGCAGGGGAAGGAGTGATTTGCAGGCCTTTGCCACACATGCCCTCCACCGTCCACCTGGAGACCCCTTCCTCCTGCCCTGCACTCGGGCCCCCAGGATCCAGCCAGGCCTGGAATTGGTGTAAGCACCTCATTACTGGGAGATGAGCAAAGATCTCAGTTGTCAGCATCAAGGGACCAAGGAAGAGACAGGAGACGGGATTGAGGGGACAGCGCCAGTACAGTTTGAACGTCCCAGGGTACACACCTCTGGAGTGGCTGCCAGGAGCACCCAGAGATGTGAGTCCCTTTATACTAGGCACTAGGATTTTTCAGGAGAACTGAGAAATCTCGATTTTTAGGTCAAATGTCTGGATTTGTAGTAAGCTGGTTGCCAGGAAGCCGATTCCAACCCCATGGTGACCCCATGTGTGTCAGAATAGAGTTGGGTTCCAGAGGGTTGGTACTGGAAGATTTGTTGGCAGTAGATCACCAGGATTTTCTTCCAAGGTGCCTCTGGATGGATTTGAACCTGCAATCTTTCAATCAGCAGCTGACTTTGTTCATGGACTTTGCACATGTTATCAGGAGTCATGTCTGGCAAAGTGCAGGCTCAACAACAATGAGGAAGACCCTCAACAAGATGATGAACGAAGTGGCTGTCGTTACAGCAGCGACTGTGAGGATGGCGCAGGGTGGGACGGTGTTCCATTACGTTGTCCACGGTGTCTGATGGTACCTGACAACACCAACAACAATCACACACACACACAATACAGACACACTGACCTCAAGGCTTCCCCTTAAGTCGAGAAAGAGGAGTCTGGCGTGACACCTGGGACCTGAGGACACTCACCTGGCATGTCCACACCTGCTAGCCACACACCTGGGACCTCAGGGCACTCACCTGGCATATCCACACTTGCTAGCTACACACCTGGCACCCTCAGGGCACTCACCTGGCATGTCCACACCTGCTCGCCACACACCTGGCACCCATGAACCTGGTGTCTGGACTCACCATTCAGCTTCTCTCCAAACAGGTTCAGGAACATGGTGAAGTTGATGGGGCCTGAGGCCTCCTTAAGCATGGCGTCTAGCTCATCGTCCTTGACGTTGGTCTTGCCTGTGGCCGCCACAGAGACCAGGAGCCGGGAGGATAAAAAAGTCAGGACCTGGGGAAGCCCTCGCCCTCTGTCCCTGGCCTGGCTTTCTGTTCTTCCCGTTGTTGTCATGGTCACTGCTTCCCTTGTCATCCCTGCTGGCCGGTGAGCCCTGGGGGACCACCTCTGTCCATTCACCAGATGACCCCACAACAGTGCCAGTGTTCAGAGACAAAAGGGTAGAGGTGGAGGGAGGTGAGCCAACTGGGGCACATGATGGGAGGGGGCGTCCAGGTGTGATGAGGCACAGAGCAGAACCTGAGCCCTGGGTAGATCTGCTGATGAAGAGGAGGGGGTGACTAATGGAAGATTGAGGTGGCAGTGGGGGCAGGGAGAATGGGAGGGGGGACTGCAGTCCCTTCTTCACATCCATGGAGGTCACCTTAGGTTTCTGGCTTTCCTGTGGTCCCCAGAGCAGTCCCATCCCAACAGTCACTGCCTGGGAGCCTGGCCCAACCCCCAGCAGCTGGGTGTCCAGAGCTGTGCCAGCCCCCTCCCCTCCTGCCTCACCCTGGAGACATCTCTGCCAGCTCTGCAGGAATTGTACTTTCACCCCCAAATCCTACTTGAGGTCAAAGTGTCGGGCTTTACTCTGAGCAGAAGACAAGGGGTAGGGTGGGGGTGGGGGGGTGGACGGCATTCTCCCAGGACCACCTACCCAGGGAGGCATAGGTGTCCTTCAAGTCCTCCTTGTCGATGAACCCATCTCGGTTCTGATCCATTAATGTGAACGCCTGTAAAACCCAGACCATGACTATTGGTTCCACAAACACTCGTCACTGCTCCTAAGACCAGCTTCCCCTGCTCCAAGTGAGGTGCCCAGAGCCTTTCCAGCACCTAGGGAGCTCTGGTAGCGTAGTGGTTACGGATCGGGCTGCAAACCGCAAGGTCAGCAGTTTGAAACTCCCAGCTGTTCTGCAGGAGAAAGATGAGGCTTTCTGCTTCTGTAAAGAATTACAGCCTCGGAAACCCTGTACAGGGTCGCTATGAGTTGGAACCGACTCCACGGCACATAACCACCACCACGGGGCTCCGCGGCACATAACCACCACCACGGGGCTCCGCACAGGCAGGGGGTTACAGGGAGATCTCACCTCCTTGAACTCCTGGATCTGGGTCTGCTCAAAGTTGGAGAAGACGTTGGAGGAAGCCCTTTGGGCCCGGAGAGCTCCCCCTTCCTTCTTCTTGGTCTTCCTGCTGGCCTGGAAGAGAAGGGAGGCTGAGGGTCCTCTGGGCTGGGGCTGGGGGGCACTCACCCCATGTTTTCTGAGACTGTACTTAAAGGCTGGGTGGGTGGGCAGCTGCAAGTTCTGAGCTCAGCATCAGTGTACTGAGGGGGTTAGTCCAGGAAGGGCAAAGACCCTCAAACTCAGGACTGGGGGATGGGGTGTTAGACCTCTGAACTTGGCTAGACTTGGCTGGGGTCTTACCAGCGGTCAGCTGGGCCGCAGGGTACTTAGGAGGAGCAAGCTGCCTGCGTAGGGGTCAGGAGGTGGGTGGGCTTGTTCTGGGGGGCTGTCAGCAGGGCTCCTGTCAGGCTCAGGTCGCCCAGGGACACCCATACTCCCACCTCCCCACACACTCACCATGCCTCTCTGTCAATGTGCCGCTGTGTCTGGCTGCCTGGGCTGGCTTGTCTTAAGCTCTCCCCTGGTCCCTCAGGATGTCTCAGACGTCGGCCACCATTCCCTACAAGGACAGGCTCCTGACCACCCTGGGGACCAGACAACTGCAGAAAGAGTGCCAGTCAGCTTGGGAGGTGACCCGGGTGCCCCTCCCTGCTCTGTCTGCTGCCCCAGCACCTGGCACCCGCTGGCCGATCCTCCCTGCCCCCACGAGGGAGTCTCCATCCCAGGGAGTACGGCCCTAGGCCTTCTGCAAAGGAAACCCCCATGAAGGGCAGTCTTTCCAAACTGGCACAGAATTGCAGAGAGTACGCAGAGGAAAAGAGAACGGTCTTCAGGGCCCAAGGCCTCGTCCTCGTCCTGGGCCAACCTTCTGTCCCCACCCCGGGGGCTTCTGCATGTCGTAGGTGGAAGGGAACTGGTGTAGCTGAAAGGCCAGCGCTGGACTCCAGCCTTCTGGACTGCAGGGGTCCCACGGAAACTCTCTAACCAAGAATCAATGTCAGCCTCGTGGACAGAGTCTGGGGATCTCTGTAGGCAGTGTCAGGACTGCAGAGATGTGAGGTGACCCCCAAAGTCAGGAGCCACAGGACCCGGTGAGGGGAGGACCCAACGAGGCTGTTTGGGGGTCTGGAGACCAAGTAGGATCAATAGAGGCAGACAGAGGTGGTGACCATGACAAGACATTGCCCAGCCTAGAGAACTCGCAGTCCCCCCTAGGCCTGACTGGACAGGAAAGGGCAGGAAGCTGGCCCGAGAACAGCTGTCCCCCTCATGTGGCAGGGCAGGATACAAAACAGGGTCCCCCAGGAGGGCCAGACTCCCAAATCATGCCTGTGTCTGCCAAAGTAACCCCCAGAGCTCCCCTCTGTAGTGGGGGTTCTGACCCTCACGGTACATGCAGCCTTGAGTGTTCTAGTGGTTTCCTGTAGGTGCTACTGCCCTGGACCCTGGGGGGACTTGTCTTCAGGTTGCTCGGTGTTTGCTGGTCACCAACAGTGTGGGGACAGGAGATAGACACCACTAGGTTAGTTGTGTGTATGTGTGTGTGTGAGAGAGACAGGGTGGGGTTGGGGGACCCCAAAGAAGCACTGGCCACCTGGTGGATGCCCAAAGGGATGTGCAGTTATGGGGGTGGGGGAAATGTGGGAGGGGCTGTGGTCAATGACAAGTTCACAGGATTGTTTCTGGCAGGGGCTGCGGGTGGGGGAAGATCCGTCTCTGAAGAGCCTGGTGCTGGGAAAGCTGAGACGGGCCAAGGGAGTCCTCTGGGGAGGAGCTTGGGGACAGCTAAGCCTCTAAAGATAGCCTGCCTACAGCCCCAGGGCGGTGTGTGGACAGCGGACAGCGTGGCCTGCTTGGCCGGCAGGTGCTGCAGCCCCGGCAGCCTGTCTCTAGTGCCAGGTGGGCACTGGGACCCTGTGAAGGGCCTGGGCCAAGGTAGGAGTGTGACTGTGTGAGTGTGTGTGTGTGTGGGGGGGGCTTCTCTGCTCCTCCCCTGCCCACCCTCAGGCGCTGCCTTCGCTGTGTGGTCTCTCTTCCCCTCCCACCGCACCAGCCCCCACCCTCGGCCCCAGAGACACTTATTTTTGATTCTAGCAGCAGAAGCTGGTCTGGAGAGCTTAGTCTATTTTTAAATCCAGTGAAGGAAAAGTACCTGAGGTCATCAGCCCTGGGGGTTGGGGAGTGGGGCTCTGGACGTGGGGTCCCCTGTGACAAGTGGTAATATGTTTTTAAAGTGACAAGGGGCTGGGGCAAGGTTCTGTCCCTCTCCTGGAGACCACATCCTTGTCCACACCTAACTGTCCTCAGGCAGGAGGCTCAGGGCAGGTCTCGGGGTCTTCGGAGCTGAAGAGGCTGGACCCTGTGCCTGGACCCGAGCACTTGGGCTCCGAGCTGGGGGTGTCCTGATAAAGATTCTGCAATCATTCCAGAGATAGGAAGGAGTGGCCACCTAGAGCCCTAGAGCCCTCAGAGGGCTGGTGGCCCGAGGCGGGTCAGGTTCTGGGAATTTGTGGCAGAGAGAGGGTGAGCAGGGCTCAGTGGTTCTGTAGATGGACCTTGGTGCCCCATCCCAGGAAACAAAGGGCCAGTGACTTCAACCAACCAGGAATGACCACCACCTGCCTACCCAGCCCCACTGCCTCCTTCTAAAAACCTCTGGTACCTGGACCGGAGGGGACAGGAAGCAGGCCGGAGAGTAGCTGCCCCCTTGTGTGTCAGGGCGGGATACAAGAGGTCTGCTAGGACGCGCTTCAAACCCACATTCTGCAGACTTCAACTTCTTACAAGATGCCTGGATCCCTGTCCCGATGGCAAACATCTCTCCTTCTCCTGAAAGAACCCATTTTGGCTTCAATGGTAACTTTTCAGGACCTGTCCCTTTCTTCCCAACTAACTTCCTCAAAACTTCAGAAATGGACAACATCTCTTTTCCAAACTGAAGTCTTTGGGATCTCCGCTGCGGGCCAGGCTCCGCTGCGGGCCAGGTTGCGGTGGGTTGCTTAACCACTGTCCTTGAGTTGATTCTGACTCACAGTGATCCTGTAGGACAGGGTCAGGGTGCAACTCTCCTGTGAGGTTTCTGAGGCTGTAAATCGTTAAGAAAGCAGACTGGTCCAACTGTCTCCCACAGAGCACACTGTGGGTTCGAACTGCGGACCTTCCGGTTAGCAACTGAGAGATTGACAACTGCTGCTGGTTTGTTTCCAAATAAAACCTTTTTGTTGAAATGTTTTAGAACTTGGTGCCAGAGTCCCCCAGGCAGGGTGACACAAAGCCACATCTGTCCCCACAAGCTGTATCCTACCCAGTAGTCTGAGTGCTAAGAGCATGTCAGAGAAGGAGCTGGCTCTGCCCCGGGGTCCTGCTCACCCAGGGGCTCGACCTGGTTGAGGGTGACCTGAATTCATTCATTCATTTAATTCAATTATTTACAATCCCCTCCCTGGAACAACATTTATCCTAATTCCTCCCTCAGTTTCCTCATTTATGTCTCATATTTCACTTACGAACAAGGCAAAAATATTTAATGTACACATAAAAAACAAAAAATATATATTCATTTAAACGTCTGAAGGGCACATTCTGCCAGCCAGCCTCCTGCTGGAAGGCACACAGCCTTTCTCAGTCCATGGCTCTAGAGTTCACAGCTGCTCTGGTCTCTCCATGCCACCGTCTCTGCCGTCCCCGCTTTTCTAGGTAGAAGCTCACACTCCACTCATGCTCTTCCTTCTTAATGGCCCTGGAATCATTTGTTCCTAATATGACAGATTAACTACTCCCCCTTTGAGTTACACGTCTTCTACAATTACAGTTGTGACCATCACAATTAATCCTGCTAACAGTTATTCACAATTGAATCATAAGATCCTGTCATCATTATTCCCCATCCCCTTTCACCAGATCCATCTGGGAAAGAGGGAAACTATTCAGTGGGGGTTACCCACCTCATTCTGAAACTAAGCACACTCATGAAAGCTTATAAGCCAGACACTTCATCCCTTTAACCCCTCTTCCCCCTTTTTCATAGCTAATATTGAAATTTCTTGTCCCTATACAGGGTTGCTATGGGTCGGAACCAACTCAATGGCAAACAATTAACAATCAACCCTGTGCATTGAGGAAACAAGGCTGTTCCTTGATATGAAGAACCCTTCCATTCCGTTTGGAATTTTGAATCACTGCATTCCTAGGCAAAAGTCTAGTTGGTCAAATTGTAGCAATTTGTATTTGTTCATAGTATCAAACATCTTTAGCTTCTTCAGTTAGAATTCTGGTTAACTATCCATGCGAAAGCTGGACAGTGAATAAGGAAGACAGTAGAAGAATTGATGCTCTTGAGTTATGGTGGAGGAGATTCTGTTGTGCATAGGGTCCCTATGAGTCGATACCAACTCAATGGAACCTAACAACAACAACAACAACAACATCCATCCAAACTAGGTCAAACGGATACTAGCTACGAGTTTGGGAGTTCACGCACACCTCCCTGCACTTCATGGCAGCCGACTGCTTCACTCTCAGACCCTGGGGGCTGGGTCAGTGCCCACGGGCTCAGAACTTCACACATCCTCCTACACTTCAGACCAGCCAGCCCTCCCTCTTCTCTCTCTCATCTCAAGGTCAACAGGTGCCAATAAAACATGGCCAAACTCAACCCGTCTTCATTGCTACATTCCCCCCACTTCCACTCACAAGCAGCCCCTGGTGGTCACCAGCAAGTGTACTACACTGCTTGTGGGTTCTCTTTAAGTTTCAGTCCTAGAAAGGGATTTTCACCATGGACTGATTTTTCTTTCCTTGATGCCTCCAAGCAAACAGTTTGATGTTCCAGCTCACCAACAATCTGTTTTTTTTTCTTTCTTTCTTTTTCTGCAGGTCTTTCTTTCAATAAGAATCTTCTGTTTTCCCAGCACTTCTGGGTTGTTCTGCCTGTGTTTTCCCAGCAGGAATGGCCAACCTCAGTAGGTCTAAGTGGGGCTCAGGAGTCTACCTAAGGTCACATACTCTGTAAAGGCTTCACGAGAAGCCTGTTTCCCTGGGTGATTCCTATCCCTTTTAGCCAATGCAATCA